GGGGGGGGAACACCAAACCAAAGCCAGGGGAAAAAAAAACCAAACCCAAAACAAAAAATGTCACAAGACTGAATAACATAGACCCGAGTCTTCTAATTTTGTTCTTATGATCCTTCAAAACTGCAGTGCTGCTTGCCCGACTAGATGTGGTGATTAAGTTACTGACACTGATTTGAGCACAAGGGAGTCACTGTCTGATTTTGGTCATGAAATAAAATAAGAGAGGTGTATGCACACAATATGTGTTTCTTATTGAAGCAATTTATCAGACATCCTGCTGCCCCACACTCTTGAAAGATTAGAGGCTAAATCTTCCACTGATATCAACTCCCATTAAACACTGTGCTGAGAAACTGTGCTGATTGATACAATGTGCCTTTGATAGTTTTATACTCAAATTCTTCCTGCTTTTTATTTACACTGAATGATCCTTTAAACTACAGATGGTTTTGTTAGTTTGTGTTAGATATTTATTCTTCTGCATTCTCTTGTGAATACAAGTTCAGGATATAGGTCTTCTGAGGACAAAAGGGTCTCGCACACTGCTTTTAGCTGTAACAAGATTAAAAATGGAAGTATTTTGGTTCCCTTCAAACAAAAGTAAATGCTGACAATTTTTGACAGATAAGAACAATTTCTAAAGCATAGTGAGTCAACGGACCAGTCATCATCTTTCTTTGGTATACGTCTGTTTTGCTTAGAAAAGTCTGTTCCTGATAGTAAACAACATTGATTTTTTTATAGTTTACCTTTGTGGAACTGCTGCAATGTGGGAATAGCCCTTTCCGAGAGATTTATTTTTTTCCCCCAGTTTTGACAGGTTTGAACTTTGAGGATGACTTTTTATTTTCTGTGGACTTTTTACACCCATTTTAGCAAAATTATGTCTGGATCTAGGGAAGCTGAAAACCATATTCCTTACCATTTTGGGGTGACTTTAATCCTTTTCTGTTTGTGGTTCCTCTTGAGTTTATTTGCTGAGAGTTTTTCCTTTTTGCAAACTACTGTTTTCTTCTTTTGCTCTGAAATATTTTTGAAAGCACCACCAGGAGTTGCTGAGCTTAACTGTTGGGAATATTGGAAAAAATGTTGGAAAAAAGTACATGAAAATTGTGAATTACATTAACCGAGAGATTGGAAATCTATGCTCTTTTTAAATAGCACTGAATAGCACCGTAGTTAAATAGCACAACTCTGAATTTTTCCTAGAATTTGTGCGTTGTTTTTTTCTAATCACTTTGTCCATCTACTTTGATAAAATAAAACAACTCACTGCTTTTGTGGATCTTCTTTCATGTGTGCATGTTCTTTCGTATTCTTCTTCCTATATAAAAAGTAAGCTTAGTCTTACAGAGCTGTTCTAGGATATGTACAGATAGACAAGTCTCTCTTCACTTACCTGAAAAAGAAAAGCTTGCAAGTCTTACACACTTTACCGGGTATAACTGCAATTTGGTTTTGTTGGCATTTCAGTGTATCTAAATGATGAGAGATGCAGTACAGAGTCTGTGTGGACTCCAAGTATCTCCAAGTATAATACAGTCTTGACAGTAATGGTCTACTTGAGTCCTACTCTAATTCAAACATTCATTTAAAATGAAAACAGTGAAATTCATATGCTGTTACAGAAGAATATAAAATATACTCATAAGGTGAAAAATCAAGAAATAGAAATACACTCTTCTCACTAGACAGCATTCCTACTGAAATTCCCGAGTGAAAGCAACTTAAATATTCACACAAAAGTGTGTATTTTTCATGCATCAAATGAATATGTAACTTATAAAAAACCTAAATTGTAAATTCTGTATCAACAAATGCCTGTAAATGTCCATAAATATACTTTTGATAACTCTTTTATTTTTCTAATCGGGGGTGGGGTGGGTGTCAGCCAATTACACCTTCTTGAGAAAGGAAATAGGGTTATTAATATTACCTCCTGCATCTGTGGTCCTTTAGAAAAGGATGAAACCAATGTTTTTAAACTCCTGTTTGTTAAGCCATATGCCACAGTCTTGCTAATATTTTTCATTTTGAAAATAGAAATATCGTATTTTGACAGTGTGCGTTCATTGCTAGATTCATTGTCACAGGTGTGCATGGAGGAATAAGCAGAGTCTGCACTCCCCTTCTGCTCAGCAGGCAGAGGAAGGCTTCTTGTTAAACAACACCAAGTTAATCGAGGTTCAGCATTTAGTGATGGGAAGGTGCTCTTCGTGCTTGATGCTGTTAAACTTCCAGAGTAGCAAGTCAGATTATTGTGGGGTAGCGCTGGGAGTTCTTTACAGTGAGTGGTGAGAGTGTGGCAACAAAAAGTGCCAAAAGAATGGCAAAAGTAAGTGGGGTTGTTTGTTGAGCTCTGAGAATGCTGCATAGCCTGCAATGTTGGTGAAATGTCCTTAAGAATGCATGGACTTCCACCTCTGTCCCGCCCCGTGATTGCTGGCTCTGCACCCTGGCTAGAAGCTGACGTCATTAGCAAAGAGTCACTTCCTGAGCAAAGATGGTGTAAAACCTTCCTCTCTTCTTTGATGTCAGCTGATATGAAGAAACCACTGGTATACAGAGAAGTAAAGCATATTTTCTTCTTTGGGGTCTGTGTAGAGGAAGTAGTTATGCTCACCCACTTCTCTTCTGTTTGCCTTTGATAATTTAATTTATTTTTATTCTGTTTGTTTTTCCAAGCATCTCTTACAATATCCTGGTGCCTGAAGTTTTGGTTATAAAAGGTGTTATCTGCTGTGGTTAAGATATTTGTTGTTTCTGAACTGACTGGTGAACAAAATACTGGAGTTTTCCAGTTTGCATGTACATTCCATCGTAGCTCTCCTTTGCTGGCCTTTTGTCTCACTTCAAACTTTAAAGGGGACCAAACCAGATCATTAGAATGAAAACTGAGTGATCCGCTGTTGGAAGAGCAGGGGGGGGTGGTTAAGGTGTCTGCCGCAGATGTGCAAGGTGTAATCTGTTCTGATCTAAGCAAAAGCGACAAATCTGAGGCTTTCTTGTCTTGCGGCAATTTAAGGATATATTTTGGAGAAAAGGCATTTTGTTGTGCGACTGGAGTTAAATGACCGGATTGCAGATGATGAATTTTAGAAGACATGTCAACAGCATTGTCACTGAAGAGTGGTGCTTTTGCTCCTGTTTTCACAAGACATGTTTTGACGTCTTTATCTGTTGCATTGTGCAAGGCGAAAGAATTGCAATCACTTCCCCTTAATTCAGGCCCTAAAGATTCCACAAATGAAGCTTTTGAGATACCTGCTGAAAGTGAGAGAAGGTTAACATCACTATAATTAAGAGCTTTTGTGGAGATTTTCATTGTTTTCATATACTCCACATTCTCAGTACCTCCAGTGGATTCATTAATTCCTGTGCTTACTTTTTGCTCCTCTGCTTTACTGGAGATTTTCACTGGTGCTGTGGAAAGACACCGAGCGCTAGCACAATAGGCTCTCTCTGCTTCATTTACTGCATTATTTTCACTACTGGGACTAGGGCAGGACTTTGAAAGAATGTTTTGTGTCTTCTCCACTTCAAACTTCAGCTTTTTTCTTTCTGATGGTAAATTCTGGGATTTCGCTGCAGCTTCTCTGTTGTTGTTGCAATGGATCCACAGGGGCGTCAGGGCATGCTGGCCAGTTTCCTTATTCCTGCTATGGTTTCCATAATTGTGTGAAGCGTTTTTACAATCTGATTCAAATGTACTGGATTCTTTCCCAGGGCTTGGTTCTTCCCATTTGCTACCCTGCACTGGCAAGCGGTCATCGTTCCTTCTGTTAGCATTCAGCTGACACTGAGTATTTTGAAGCCTGAGCTCACAACTGCTTGGAGCTAGTAATGTGCTGTTGCCACCTGTGTATTTATCTGTGTCACTGCCACTGAGGTCCTGGGAAGTTTTGCTCATTACAGTATGTGCGCTAGCATTTACCGAATGAGATGTCTCCATTACACAGGTTACACTGTCTGCAGTTTCCTCAGAGGACACATTCTGTAGAATATGATTACCGTTAGTACGGGTTTCTGATTTACCAATGTTTAAGCCTGTTGTCACAAGGGAGGAAAGACTGTCAGTTACAGAGCTGCTGCCATCTCTTTCCTCAGTAATTTCAGTACTGCTGACTGATTCCTTTGAATGAGAAGTGAAGCTTTTAATATCTGTAATCTTATTCCCCCTTTGTTTAATTTTCTTGGCATTTTGACTGCTTTTCATTTTTTGGTAGATTTTCTTAAATGTTTCATCTCCATACATTTGCCATTTTTCTTGAGAGAACATCTTTAACTTCCTTTGATTGTGTTTCTTATTTTTAGCACTGATTGCTTCTCCAGCTCCAAGCTTTTTACTCCCTTGCAACTCCTCTGACAGAGGAGGATGATCAGCGACATTACTTAGTGGCAAATCATCCACTGCTGTTTGTCTGACTAGAGCTCGGGGATGGCTGTTAGGAAAATCCACTGAATTTGCGGCAAGATTGTTGCTAGGCAGCAAACTAGCAGCGCCCGTATTTATGTGCTTAGTAAGAGAAAGTGGTTTTGAGCAACCTGCTTTGTCATGTACTGTTCTTGTGTCCTCCACAAAGGGCAAAGAGTTGCTTCGCGTAACAGGCACCGTATCTATCGTTGTGGAGAACTGGGTGGGGACTGAATGAAAAAACACTGGCTTGCATTTTTCTGAGGGTGCAAAGGTAGATTTTGCTGAACAAAGGGAAAGATTCTTTTTCCTATTTACATCACAAGTTCTGATGTCAAAATGGAAAGAGTCTTTGTATGTATAAGGCATTGGCAGATCGATGCTTCCCTGTTTAGAAAGGACAGTTTTTCTGGGCCTAACGTTGTCTAACTGGGTATCATCCACCACACTTTTGTTATGAGAAATGAGTTTTGAAATGTGTTCTTCCAGCCTCTTTTTCTCTAGCATCGAGGCTGTAGCTTTCTCAGCTGCGTCTAGCTTTGCACTGCTTCCGGAGGTACACCTTAGGCTGCTGAAGGCAGTTTCATTTTCCAGTTCTGTGCTGTGTTCATAGAGACTGTGCAATGGGCTGGATGGTGCCATCTGTTGTTCTGTACTATCAGAGCGTGACAGATACCCTGAGTCAGTGCTCTCACACTTCTTTAGCTTGCAGTCAGATGGCTTGTAATCCCACTGTTTTTCTGAAGAGGTTGCTTGCTGCCTTTGCAACTGAATATGCTTATTGGCACCTGGAGTTCTTTGCTCCTGTATCTTCTTTCTCTGGCACTGACCATTTGGCAAAGCTCCTGGAGATGATAAACTTTGAGGTTCTCTTTCAGGAACCCCCTGATTAGCCTTTGAACTAAAGGACTGATGCGTTGTTTCTTGATTTTCTGAAGCAAATGATGAATTGCTTGTTGCCGGCAGTGAAAGGTCATTAAGAAGTTTCTTAGTGTCTGTTACAGCATGGGTCTCTGAACTCATTTGTTTCATCTGTATCCCCTGGTCTTCACACGTGCTACCGAGTACTTTGCTGCCTTGATGTGATGTGATGCTCTCTGTTGATTTCTCATTTTGCTCCAATGTGCCGCTGTTGTCAGAGTCGGAGGGCAGTCTGGTATTGTTGACATGTGTCTGAGTTCTTCTGTGTTTGTACAAATTGCTTTGAGTTTTAAATGCAATACCGCAAGTGGTGCATGGAAAGGGCCTCTCTCCGGTGTGAGAGCGAATATGTTTCTCAAGGACACTTGGCTTCAAACAATCTCGTCCACAGTGTTTGCAGATATATTTCCCAGCTTTTTTTGATTTTCCTGGGCTTCCAATAGATGCATTTACACAAGAATTTGGTGATGATAGAACTGGTAAAGTGCTCACTATGTTCAATGTTAGAGTTTGCCCAAGTTGTTTCTGAAAAACTGACTGAGGCTGATCTGTGCCTTCTGAAGGAACAAGTGGATTCAGGATTAGAGTTATGTTGCTGCTGTCCAGATTTACACAGGTCCTGCCGGTCACTAACTGACTGTTTGGCTGAAAGCATCCTGCCTGGACAGGCTGGTACAGTGGTATGGTAAGGGCTTTTAGATACACAGGTTGAGACAGTGCTTGCTCCTGTTGAGGAATCACACTGCCTTGGCTGAGATCTGAAGAATCCTGTGCAGGCTGAAGCGAAGAGGTTGGAATTGGTGGATCTGCTAGTGCAACTGTAAAACCAGGCTGCTTCTGTGCCTCCATTTCAAAGATTATCTGCCATATGCTCATGTATCTGTAAGGGAGGGGGAAAAAAAAAAGCAAGTAGGAATCTTCAGATGGCAAAATAAAATAAACACTTTCAACTGCTGGACTGGGAAAGTTAGCAATTAAGAATATCACAAATCTTATATATAGGCATTACACAGACAAAAATTACTTAATTTTCCAGCTGATTAATCTTTCATTTCTTAGCTAGGAACTGAAGTTCGGTACAGTGTAAAGAACGTCAAACATTGCACTTAAAACCTACAATAAGTACCCAAACTATCTGAGTGTCAGATTTGCAAATGGAAGCTCTCAGCACCCCAGAAATAATACAGTTTTAATTTTCTGGAACCATATTCCCATTACATATTTGTACCATGGTTTTTAGTTTAACAATTTACATTAATAAATCTTAATATAGAAATACAGAACAATTAAGGTTAGAAGGGACCTCAGGAGGTCTCTAGTCCAAACACCTGCTCAAAGCAGAGTTAGCACTGTGGTCAGATGAGGTTGCTCAGGGTGTTATCCTGTCTGGTTTTGAAAACCCCTGAGAATAAAAAATGCACAGCTTCTTTGGACAACCTGTTCCAAACACAGGACATTAAAGGTGGCTGCATATTATCTGTGTTTACCCAATTTAAGTGAACTAAGGCTAAACACACTATGACAAGTGATGCAAAATGAAAATGTGTGAACAAAATGAAACTGATGTCCTGTTTTACAAGTGAGATTTACATAAATATGTACAAAGTAGAAAAGACAGTATCATAGGAAAATAGTGGGATAAATTAAAGCTGTCTTTTGTGTAGCCCAAATTAATTTTGTCTAATTAAAGGTGATATTATGGTATACTGCTTATTTTTAGATGCTTTCAATGCCAGATAAAAACATTTTGTAGACACAGTTTTTAGAAAAAGTTAACCTATTCTTATGAAATCTGTCCAAATATATTCAGGGTTGGTGCTGGTCCAGACTACTTCTTATTTTACCAAAAATTTGTCTTGTCTTTTTTCTTTCTTAGAAACAAACTAGGAAACTATCACAATAAGCTAGTTGAAAATTATTTTTGGAAGTGCTGATAAAGGCATCAGCGTAACCTCTTGTAATTATAGTTTGGATGAAAATTAGAAGGTGATCTGTGAATGTTTATTAAAATTCTTATTCAGCTATACTCACAGCTCTGTATCCATTGACTGTTGTGAATAATAGGCTGTTCTTGTGCAAACAGTCATAAAAACCCCATTTGAAATAACATAATCAGTGGCTAAATGTGAAATCTGCAATTTGTTGCCTTACTGCATAATCTGTAGTGGTGTTTCTGCACCTTCCTTGGATCATTTTGGCAGGTAATCAGTAAAAAACATTACTCAAAAATGCTGTTTGAAATTTGGACTGGTTCCCTATGACACACACACTATGTTACCGTTATTCAAAACAGAATCTCTGTTGCATGTAGTTACTGAGAATTTTGCAAATAATTCACATTAAAGGAGAAATGGCGAACTCAGTGTAATTGTTTTTGAGTATTCCTCAGTTACCATTAGAGCAGTTAATAAATCTGGTAAGTTGATATAAAGTTGGATGGAGATCCAAGAGAAATTCTGTTACTTCACAACTGAAGATGATAGCGTCTCACGAAAAAATGGGAAAATAACCTTCTATTAATGATCAAATGGAAAACGTTAAGGTCAGTGAGTTATGTGCTCAGTAATAAATGCAATTATCATCTCAATAAATAGACTAGCAATTCAGGTAGTTTTCATATTAAATGTATGCACCATTGAAACGGAAAGATAAAGCCAACCCTCTTGGTTATCAGTCTTCTGCAACCTATACGGTCGCATTGCTCACAATGCAACTGTAAATACTTGTCTCCTTGAGCAACAGAAAACTAATGTACCAAAACTGGTAGTTATTACTCTGCGCTCCTCACTCTGCACCACTTCTGGAAGTGTAGTTGTTGGCTGGCAACTTCTGTTTCACAGCCAAGGCTTCTTCCAGTTTCTCTCTGATCTGCTTGGCTTATTGCAAGAATTGGAAAAGTGGAGGAAAAAACAGCAATGCAGTCCCTGGCATGTGTTCTCTGACTTCCCTTCTGGTCGCGAGTAAGGCCATTAGCTTCTCCACATGCATTATATGCGTCAACAAAACGGCTGATGAGCCACTGAAGTAACTGAGAAGCTTGCCACCAACTGCAGCGGGCTCAGGGTTCGACCACTTATGGGCAAGGTATCAGTGCCTGATGGGACTCTTTGTCTCCACCCAAAGATTTTAGAAAACGACCCGTAAAATGAACTGATCTGTGCACAGCAATGTGTTAGATTTTGCCTTTTCTCCTTTCTCATGAATTTTATAAATCAAATTCAGTTATCAAGCATGGACTTTTCTTGTCCACTTCAGAGATTTCTGCTTGGAACTATCACTTCCGTGGCTTTGTAATATAGGTATTGACTATATTGATAGAAGAATGTTAAAAGAATATGGCTTGTTAAAGAAATTAAGTTATTATCCATATTCTGCAGTGTGGTTAACACTACAGGATAAAAGTGGATTTCTCTAATTTGCAAAGTGAGGTTATAGACATTTCAAGTCCATTTAAGATAGTTCTTAAGCTATACAGTCACCTTTATTCATAGCAATTTAAATACGGCATACAATAAAAACAGCAGCAAGTGATAAGACATGAGCCAGTGGTACTCATAAACTAAGCACGCATGCAGTAGTTTTTCCAAAGATGTGAAAATAAAGAAAAGTTGAGGGGAAAAAAAAATATGCTGCAGAGACAAGACTCAAAGAAGAAAAGTGAAGTCTGAATACTGTGTAGCTAGAACATCTAACAAGTACCACATCAGATGAAACAAGTCATAGTATCTATGCTCCCCACCTTCCCCTGGAGAGAAGTGTGGAGATGCGGAATTTGCATTTCCACTCCAATAAGCCTGCTCCAGTGTGACAAACTATGTTCTCTCTTTAAATATCCTCGTGCTCATGCATAGTTGATGGGCCCTTCAAGGCCAGCCTGTAAGTTAGTAGGACTTGGGGTGGACAGGTGTTTTTAATATGAATCCTGTATTTGCAAAGTACCAGACTCTCTGTGTGATTTCGCTTATTCTGTTAAGTTTCTGGGGCCCAAAATATGGTGTAATTCTGAGAATCAGTTCAGTGCTCTGTAATGTTCTACAAAGAAAATACTTAAATTATTACAGAAAATTTAAAGGAAAGTTTTAACTAATGCTAAACAATTAACTAGATGGTGATACACAATCTCATTACTTTTAAGAAACTCTTAAAATAATACATTTCTACCAGCTGTGGTAGCTTGCTGCTTTTCACAGCAAACAACAGACACTTTCTTCCTAAGTGAAACTTCTGTTGCTTGTATTCTGCTGTGGCAAATACAATCATACCTTTCACATCTGTCTTTTATATACAAAGAAAGCCACTATATTTCTTCGTACATTGACAAAAATAGCTTATCTCAAACTAATTCTACCCTACCGCTAATTCCAGGTAGTCCTTGCCTAAAGTAGAAAAACTTCCTTTGTTGATGATCCCCCAGGCTCTGTTACTGAGCATCTACCTGATGTTCTGAGCTCAATTTGTAATTTGTAGCATCGAACTACCAGTATGGAAACTTGATCCTAACTAGATAAGGAAAAAATTCCAATAAACAAAACTAAAAGCAGGATTTGGCCTGTCCAAAATTTTCTAAATTTGTTTCTTAAGCTATCGAAACTGGTCAATAAATTTCCATTTAAATACAATTATTTTGTTCCTAGTTTGAATTATACCTTCAGGTACACACCATAGGTATGTCTGTGGAACACTGAAAAGTCAAAAAGTGGAGTAATTTCAGATGACAAATCAGCGTAGCAGAAACTGTCTTATTCTGTATATAAGTATAAAGTATTTTAATAAGGGGGGTGGTATAAAAATCTTATTTTAAATCCAGTGTGTTCCTCTATAATTTCTTCCTTAATTCCAAATAATTTTATCAAATCTGCTTCATTTTATCAGCACTGTTATAATAATCTTGGATTACACAACCAAAAGATTTTTGTCTTCTGCATGGCACATGTAAATGGACTGTCAACTGCCCATCATTATTAATAAAATCATGAAATATACATGTAACTACTTATTTCCTGCACTTACATATAATTTTTTTACACACTGTTGAGAGGAGCATCATAGTCTTTAAGCAGATGCAGCACTCAATCCCCTGGCTTGGTCTACAGATATAATCTGTAGACATGATAGAGTTAGTTTATTTTTGTAACCACACAGAAGCAGCTTTTCAACATTCTGAACATACATAATATACTATATTATACTAGAAGTATATGCCTTTTTTAAAAGCTTTTGGTGATCCCTACCTTGAGTAGAATACCAGAGAGCATACAGAAGTGGAATCCTCTTTAGTCTGTAAATAATTTTAGTTTACGTACCTTTTATTGAGCCAGGCATTTCAGCAACAGAAGTCTCATTTCTGTCAATACTTGATGCAAGCAGAAAGAAACGAGGACAAAGACTTGAAACAGATTAGAAGTAGGAAGTTGTTTTTTTTCTTTTTTTTTTTTACATTGGTGTCACAGTAACAACCTTCAGAAAACAGGAAGAGATGAAACAGGAAAATGAAGTAGCATTTCAATCTCTTCGTATCCTTTATCATTATTCATGTAGGAACCTATAAACAGAATCGGCTGTCTTTGACATGTAGGCATTTTGTACGCTGCATTCAATTGTCTCATTCAGTGAAATACACTGACACGATGGTAGAATTTTTTTCTTTGTACCCTTAAAGGTAATTTGCTTATAACTTTACAGTAAAGATCTCTCTTAAAATCTGTTGGAAAAGAAGAGAATGGTGGAGAGAAGACACTTGCTACATATGAAATGCTAAACTCATCCAGTGTAGGTATTATCCACCAGCTGCTTCTAATGGTGCCCTGCGGTAGGGTAGAAGGCAGTAACCAGGAGGGAAAATACTTCAAGAATGTTAAAAGTGTTTAGGTTATGCGCAACAAAACTCCCTAAAATTCATGAAACCCTTCAGGGAAAACAGGATCGGGGACAGTCAAGAGAAGTGAAAAGATTCTTTTAAGAATTTAGACTTTGTTTGTGGGTTGACTTCATAAAGAGTGCTCATAAAGCAGTCAGCAGAGCCAAGGTGTCCTGTTAGGGGCACAGCTGTTCTTCATGCAAACACCTCTTTAAAATAGGGATTGGAATGGCTGCTTCCTCCACTGCTAGTAGACTAAGTAAATCCCAAACTGGAATATGCATTCCCTAAAATGTTACAGAATCAACATATCTGGCCAGTAAAAATTCCTTAGGAACACTGTGTTTTGGAAGATGTAGCTTTGAATCTGGTTATAACTTACTGCGACGAGCATCTGCCCAATTCAGATAGCTGCAGCCTGTATCTTTGTCGTGGCTTAACCCCAGCCGGCAACTCGGCCCCACGCAGCCGCTCGCTCGCTCCCCCCCGGTGGGATGGGGGAGAGAACCAGGAGAGTAAAACTGAGAAAACTCGTGGGTTGAGATAAAGACAGTTTAACAGGTAAAGCAAAAGCCGCGCACACAAGCAAAGCAGAACAAGGGATTCATTCACCACTTCCCATGGGCAGGCAGGTGCTCAGCCATCCCCAGGAAAGCAGGGCTCCATCACGCGTAACGGTGACTCGGGAAGACAAACGCCATCGCTCCCAACGTCCCCCCCTTCCCCCTTCTTCCCCCAGCTTCCCGTGCCGAGCGTGCCGCCATACGGTGTGGAACGTCCCTTCGGTCAGCTGGGGCCAACGTCCCTTGGGTCAGCTGGGGTCAGCTGTCCCGGCTGTGTCCCCTCCCAGCTCCTTGTGCCCCCCAGCCTGCTCGCTGGTGGGGTGGGTGAGCAGCAGCAAAGGCCTTGGCTCTGGGTGAGCCCTGCTCGGCAGTGAGGAAAACATCCCTGTGTCATCAACACTGCTTCCAGCACAAATCCAGAACACAGCCCCATAGGAGCTGCTATGGGAAAAATCAACTCTGTCCCAGCCAAAACCAGCCCAATCTTGTAAATTGGGTAGTGGTGAAACTGTAATATTATGATTGTTCGTCCAATGTCCACTTTAGCACAAGCTCTTTGTTTCAGTAATTCAGATGATAGGCTAATAATGGAGGTGTCAATGGATTTTCATTCTACACAGCTTTATTGATCTTGGAGAGTTTTGCCTGTTGTTGGGATTGCTTTCAGTTTGGTTCTGGACCCTGGTTTAGTAGGCCTCTAATTTTGGAAGTAGAGAAATATTTCTGTCTTACTCTTCCTGTCTTTCTTGCCTGCCATTTAGTTATTCGGGGGCAAGAAAGCTCTTAATGGGGCCTTGTATGGTTGCTTAAAATCCTTCTAGTTTCTATTATGCCCTGACGTGTCCCCAGTAATCGGTAATGGCACAGCACATACCTAAAATCAGTGAGCCTAGAAAACCACTTGACATTGTGAACTGCTTTACAATGACTCATGCTTCTGATCTACAGACTCATTCTGTCCATATGGATAAAACTACATGCAGCAACTCGTTCCAGCTTTGCTGGGAGATACTTTCTTAAAGGAATGGATTCTCACATATAAGTGAGATCTTCTGGAAGATTATTGCATGCTACATCAACAAACTAACGGAGAAAAAAAAGCATATCTTAGAATACTGGCATGAATCAAATCATACAAACAGATGATTATGGGCATTTTACATAACCAGTCAAAATTAGTTTCTCTTCAGTTTTGTCACATATCTGAAGTCTATTATATTTTATTCCACATTGAGACTGACTATTATTATTTTAAGTTAAGATGAACTTACTTAAAAAGGACAATTATTTTAAACAGTATTAATAATTCCAGCAGTATGCTGCAACTAGTAACAACTGTAAAACATACAAGCTTTAAAAATTCATTATTTAGAACACTCAGTAGCATATCAAATTCTAAATGCTAGAACTGCAAGTTTCTTATCCTGAGAGGTTTAAAGAAGCAGTAATTAAATAAAGCAAGTTACAACTAAAGCAAGTGACTGCATGGATGCCTGCCACTATCACACAGGTTTCAGGGCTTAGCAGAATCTTTTGAAGCTTGATCTAAAATCTCTAAATCTTGAATGAGTGACTCTGGAATCACTCTGACTTCACAGCATCCTCTGATTCTTTCCATTTATATGGATGAACATATTGCTGTAATGATTTGAACTGTACACTTAATACAGAGGACCAGTATTGCACTGCATTAATTCCATTTGAAATAAAGTCATTTTTGTTTTCTCTTTTTACCCAATCTATTTTTTGGTGTCACTTCCTAAGCTGGAATCTCTGTGCAAGATTACTTGTATTCATTTAAGTTCAAAACATTATCCTGCTCAGAGAAACCCAATTAACTTCAGTTGGCTCAATATACAGCAAAACATCTATTTTAACTATGTATAAAGATAAACCTACTGCCAGGTACTACACAGTATGTGGTGCTATATTGCGCTTCAATTTCAATTTATGTCTTAATCGGGATTTGAGGAGGTAAACCCACATACCATTGGCATGCATTTCTAGGTTCCATCTATCTGCGGAAAGGGCTCCTCCCAGGTGTCTAAAACCCTGTATCGTTTTAAAGTACTTTACAAACTTAAATGAAAAGAAAGTATCTTATAGGATTGTTAACTACTAATTTTCCTTACGAGGACAATGATGCTGAGAACAGCACACAATATCTTACTGTCAGCAGAAGATACAGATACTGGAATTATCATTTCCAGTTGCTGGTCTACCACCGACAGCTAGCACAAGGTGCCAATGTTTATGAAGACCTCCCTTGATTGACTAGACAAAACTTCTAGTTAAATATTAGTATAATAAAGTAATAGTGAACTATAGGGTCTGAAATAAATTTTGTGCAGGTACTTTAAACACTACTTGTTTGATGGAAAATAAAAGTTTATGGGTGTACCCTAATTCTGGCACTTTCTAGATCTCAAGTCAAATTAGCAAAACGGAACTGGTACATTTCCTGATTAGCCCAGAAATTACTGTTAATCTTGTTTTACTTAAAAACTATTTCTCCCTTTGTTCTTTTCTCAGTTTGACTTCATACCTTGAAATATCTCATAACAGAAGTACTGACTTCACCTTTTCACTTTTTCTTAAGGGATGTATCTGATCTTACAAGGCTGCAAGTTCCAAGAGCAGTGTGCAGACTGCTTATAACCTTATTAACAAACTTGAGAGCCCCAGTCCCCTGCAGAATTAGGATGAAAATGTGCAAGTCCCTCATCTTCTGAAACCCTCATAATCTTTCCATGATAACATTTCTTGATTAAATTCTGACTTTGGGAAATCTTGCTACTTGCTAGGAAGACATTGTTCCTGAAGTTTTGCCCTGCTTCATATGTTAGAAAAGTACAAAGCAACTAGAAGACACGCTGATTGAACTTTGAAATTTTTGTACCATATTCTGAGGACAGATATTTTTGATGCTGTATTTCCACAATTGTGTAATATCGGTGAAATTTTTTTTTTTTCGTTTTTGTTTGTTTGTTTGTTTTTTGGGGGTTTTTTTTGTAAACACTACCAGAATACAGTATTAAAACCTTTTAAGAAGAATGTGATCTGTAATAGCTTTCCTTCATTCTAGAATAGCACCATTTTGATCATTATTAAATGTACAGTTTTCTATCTAGTTGATTCTCCTTTTCTTGAATATCCATAAATGAAGACATTCAAAAGGCTTAAATCAGTAAGAATATCATTAGCAAAAATGTATTTTAGTGTGTAAGTAAACATTGTATTGGCCCTTTTGAACTCTTCATGCAATTTGTATCAGTGAATATTTCCTATTCTGTTTCTTATGCTGCTACTTTTCTCAGCTCCAGTCTTTCTAGTTTATTATATGTCTTTACTTTAAATTTACACCACTTCTTTCTAAAAAGAAACGTGTCTAACACATCTGTTGGGTTTGTAACATTGTTGGTGGCTTCATAATGAAAATAATAAATAGGATTTTTAGTGCTTAAAAAAATCTAAAAACCTCAAAGGATTTCCATTCTTTTGTCCTTTCATCAAATTCACTCCTGTGCATTTCCCTTGTTAGGAAAGAGTTAACAACCTCCAGCCAGCAGTCTGTAATCAACAGGTTGCTCTAACAGAAAAATAATAACCCTAATCCATCTTTCGAAGTTTAGGAGGTTGGACTAAATGGTGAAAAAATACTGCTTAAAGCCCTCTTAAAAACAGAAGTGGGGCCAGTACTAAAATGCTTTGTGTTTCAGGAAAAAATCTTTCTCATTGCTAAGTGAAAGAACCATCACATTAAAAAAATTATAACTTTAAAATTTCTGTCTTATCATCTAGGATTTAATTATATCTCTGTCTATATAAAATGATAACAAAACACTTGCTAACCTTTAGGTGGCCAATTCACAGGCAGGTGGAGAGGTTCAGATCTCTCTGGAATAGCGTTGAAATGAAGCATCCTGTTTTCTTTTTTCAGTGTCTTTCTCTTCTCTTTTTTTTAAGCATTTGAA